CCTTGGAGTTAACTGAGGAACAAATGAATGCAGAACAAAAGCACCGAAGAAAAAGGATCAATTGAGATAGAAAGGAAGCACATGAACGCCTCATGCAAAACTATTTTAACAAGAATCCGCGATTCGATCATGAGATTTTTCTGAGACGCTTTAGAATCAGCAGAGAGAGATTTGTGGATATCTGTCGGCAGCTTGAAGCCCATGATATCTTTTGGGTTCAGAGATATGTATGTATCTCGTGTTATTTAAGTTTTTTTTGACTCGTAAATGAATTCTTTGGCGCATGTAGGACTGCTGCCTTCAGCTTGGCCTATCTACTTTCCAAAAGGTTACATGTGCATTACGCCAGCTGGCCTATGGAGTTTTGGCGGACATCATCGATGAATTTGTTTCGATTGGAGAAACAACTGCAATTCTATGTTTAAAAAAATTTGTTCAAGGAGTTATCGAGATCTTTGGACCTGAATATCTCCGTCCTCCAAGACCAGATGAACTCGAGATAATCACCAAGGAGTATGAGGCACGAGGTTTTCCAGGATGCAAAGGTTCCATCGATGGGATGCATTGAGTATGGAAAAATTGTCCTTCCGGTTGGGCAGGACACTTTCAAGGAAAAGAACGAAAAGCTACTATTGTCTTAGAAGCTGTTGCATCCAAGAGTACACGCATATGGCATGCATTCTTTGGTGTGCCTGGATCTTTGAATGATATCAATGTTTTAAATCAATCTCCTCTCTTTAATGATTTTCTAAGAGGTAAGTTATTATTCGAAGAACAAGTGTTTTTAAAAAAACTGACCAATATACAAATAGGTACCAATGAAAGGATGAACTTCGAGGTCAACGGAAATCAGTATGAACGTGGTTATTACCTCGCCGATGGAATCTACCCGGCGTGGCCTGTCTTGATCAAGACGATCAATAGCCCACAAGACGCTGCCTCAGTGACTTACGCCACAGCACAAGAATCTGCTCAAAAGGATATCGAGCGAGCCTTTGGTGGCATCCAAGCGGCATGGCACATCATTGCTCGACCGTGCAGGCTTTGGAAGTTACATGATATACGTAGAATTATGTATGCATGCATAGTGCTTCATAACATCAATGTGGAAGACCGTTACGTTGTAGATCCGGACATTGAGGACTTCCCAACGGACACGGAGATTGTTCCTAATCATCGTAATCCCGCCTTATGGGCCACTGCTGAGGCATTGATGTCAAACTACATTGATTTACAAGATGCCACTTTGCATTGTCGTCTGATGAACGATCTGAAGATTCACAATTGGGTGGCACAAGGGGTGGCACGACAAGGTGTAGGAAACACGTAGAGACTACTTCAATTTCTGTCAAAAAGCTTGTATACAAACTATCAGAAATGAAATGATAAAAAAACAATTGGTATGATGACACATTAAAGATCATAACAGTTGAGTTTGATAACATTTTTAGGAATGATAGAAAGTGTAAAACAAAAAAAGCACAACCTCTTGGAGACTTTGTTTATTTGAAAAAACATCAGAAATATGAGATCAATTTTGATAAAAAAAACATATATCAATTTGGTGATTTTTTTATAATCTGTTGCTTTGAAATGAAATTCATAAATTGTTTTGAGTTGCAGAAGCTGAAGTGGAAGAAGTTGATGGAGTACGGTTTGAATATTTCTCCTTCAATTGGTTCTGCATCAATATAAGTACCTCTTTGGCAAGAGGTGTCATATTTTCGTCTTCTGGGGTCATTAAGACCTTGAGTTCGTTGACTTGAATCAGGCTTGCTTTGGCTTCAGCATCGACTTGAGCCATTTTCTTGGTGAGCTCATTTCCCTCTTCGATAGCTCTCACTCGACGTTCAGCTAATTCATTGGCCCGAATTATATGCTCCTCACGTGCTAATTCGATTTCTGCAGCCTTTGCATCCTGAATTTGTTTGCGTTTGGTCTTCTTTGATCCGTCAGGGCGAGGAGGTGTAGCGGCGCGAGGAGTAATGGCACTTGAATCAAGGGCCGAGTCACTGGAGGGGACGTTACCGGCAATTGACATCGCTAGAGGACCCGGTGGAGGACGTGGAGTAAGCCACTTTGGACAGGTGGCAAGTACTCTCCACGCTGCGAGAGATTTGAAGCGACCTTGGGTGCTGGTCTTGTCAAACATCTTGATGGCGAGTTCAGGCCAGTCGGTCTGCACAGTACCACTCGGAGGATTATTTTTGATCTGAGTCATGATGCTGGAAAACTTGATTGTAGCGGTTTTCAAAGAGGCCCACCTACAAAACAATAGATAAATGAAAACAGGTCAATTGACTGGAATCATGAAAGGATTGAGTTTATCAACAAAAAGTACTTACTTGATCTTGACCGAATTAAAATCTCGGTATTCGGAAGGGGAGGTGTCATTGAAACGATCGGTGAGTTTTTGTGTAAACTCCTTGCCAGTCTGATTGGTGCCAACCTCAGGTTGCTGGCTGACGTGGAGGAAAGCCTCGGCTAGCGTGACTTCTTCCGCAGTAGACCAGTTGGTAGACTTGTTGTTTTTTCTTTCTTTTGAGTTTTTATTCTTTTCATTTTGATCGTTTTTGTTGTTGTTTGGGTTGATAGTTTGATTTGAGGGATCCATGTTGATTGTTTTTGTGAGATTGATTTTTGATTTGAATGATGATGAAAGTTGAAAAAACAAAACAGATTGATATCAAAGGAAACGGGAAGTGGATGACTTGTGGTGTGTTGAAATAGAAAGTGGATGACTTGGGGTGTCTCTTTCCCTCGGCAGCTCAAGCAAATTTTTACCAAAGCAGCAGGTACCGAAGCGTGATTTGGACACGATTGGTGATTTTGAGCTTCGGTACAGCAAAATTTGCTGTACCAAAGCCGTTTACAGAAACGATTGTGGATGCTCTTATATAGGCTAAAAAAAGCGGGGTATCAACGGGTCACGCGGGTTTTGGTGAAAACCCGGGGGGCTCCGGATATCAGCCGAGGGGGCTCTAAATAGTGGGATTCTTTGTTAATGATGATAAAAAATATGTCCATCCAATTCTTCGTGGTTGTAGCTCAATATTTAACTATTCCTCTGTTTGTTCAAAAAAGGTATTGCTAGTTAAACTTTTTAGTCAGGGTCTTGTTAATTGTTACAAGGGTTGGACCAGACCCTGGTCAGGGCTGATGAGGTGAAACTTGTTATGCCTGCTCAGGGTTCCTTGATAACGTCATTGTTCGATTATCGGCTGGCTTGGTAGTCATGTTATTATTGACTTGTTTTGTTAATATGTTTTCTATGTATGCTACGTTATCGATGTTGCACTCTTGAGACTCGAGTGTAAGAGGTGTAAGTATTTTATTTTTATATGTAGGTTTTTAAGTGGTCTGGCTAGATCATGATGTATTGTCAATACTATAGGAGTTTCCTGCGCAGCTGGAAACTTCCTTCAGTTGACAACCATTGATTATATACCCCATAGTCACTCCTTCCAAGACTGTGATTAGGATCCCATCAACTGGTTCACTTTGAGTGTTGTTGTAGGAGCCTTCAAATGACATTTGATTGAGATTCAACTTGTCTTTGATCAACATTGTTTTTTGATAGAGACCGTTTTCTGATTTGAATTGAACTGATAAATATGTGATATAATGCAATCAATTGTCTGAGTTGTTTTGAGTTGATAGATCTGGCCTGAAGATGATAATTTTGATGATGATGAGTCCTTGCGATTCTGGATGAGCAAATTCTCAGGTAATTGAGGATCACAGGGTAGTTTTTTGATCATGAAAGTGTCAGTTCAAATGAAACCCCTTTGGATGGCAATCTGATAAATTGGATGATTTGGTAAGTTCTGATTTTGACAATCGAATCAAAAATTTAACTCAGTAGTCAAGGCTAATTTGATGATGCTTGCAGAACAAATTTGATGTCTTATGAAAATTGTAAAGCCTTTTGAGATTCAACTTGGATTGAGACATTCAAATCATTGTTGATATAATCAAGTTGTTACTTCTTCGACCAATCTGAGCTGATTTAAATAGATTTATCAAATTTCTCTCAGCCAACCAACATGATACATCAAATTAGTTTTGATTGGATATGATCAAACCATGTAACAAACCAAGAAATACCAAGAGACATGGATATTATAAGTGTGTTGATCAAAAGAATCAAACCAAGTGAGATTTAAATGATATATGGAAATCTCAAAACCTAGCAGAAGGTAAATAGATTTCTTTTTTAGCTCTTGATGATACATAAATTCTATGCTTTCATAAATCCAATCATGATACCCTATGAAGCCTATCCATACAGTAAATAATAAGATTAACGACGTAATCGCACACTTTGCATTAATGTCAATTGATTTGCTCAATACTTATATTGTCTTTCAAGATCTCAATGCATTGTTAAAAGCTACACAACAAAACTTTGAAACTGTACCTGGATTCAAAATCTATTCACATGTGCATGTTTCTGAAACGACAGGTCAATTTGAGATTCACAATCTCTAAAGGAGAACCAAGAGCAGCGGGATCAGGGTCATTCAATTATACACAGTGAAATAGTATCTACAGCTATGATGTAAGCATTCAGCTTTATATCTCAAGTGTGTAAGCCATTTGGCTCATTACTCTACTAAAGTGCTGTTTGCTTTCCTCAAGCTTTAAGCCTCGGAATCAACATTTTTGCTGATATGATTCACGAGCTGAAGACTCGCCCAGAAGTACATCAATCTGTAGATGAATTTTAATGGTCATTGCACTCATCTATGTTTGCAATCTAACAGTTTGCAATCTAACAGAGTGTGTAACCTTGAGCAGGTTGACCAACATACCGCCCTATAACATCACTCACACCTGATATACCCCATCTCATCGCGGTAAGTTTCATGGAAAGCTCTTTATGCTCTCTGGGATTGTGGATTAGAATTGGGCCTTTATGGAAAGACAATTGACGTACAGACCGGTGTAAGCTCAAAAGTATTTCTACAAGAAGCATACAGAGGACAAAACTGATTAAGATGGTCCAAATTAGGCATGGTCCTATGGTATCACCAGTATTGAGTATTGGAGCTGAAATTGATTCCTATGATGAATACCTCTTCAAATCTTATATGTTGCTTCAAGATGATCCACACCTCAAACTATGGGAAGCTGAAAATAAATCTGTATCAACTTATAGATGTTCCTCTGATGGGTTTGGATTAAAATTTTCTCTTTTTCTAAATGCACAAGATACATAATGACACCTGCCAAGATTTTATTTGTTGGGAATTTTCAGTATTGTGAGGTGAATATGCCAACTGTATCTATTGCTTCACTCACAGTTGATTCACTCACACCTTTTCCCCTGGATTCCAAAGTCTGAGAGCTGTTAAAATGATTTAATGAATTCTTTTGTGTTATCTAACACAATCAAATATTGTCGTGAGACAATATCTGTGTTGCCCATATCTCCAATCAACCTTCTTAATGTAAAATGTGTAGGTGGTACTAACCAGGAGTTGATTCATTTCCTCAAAGCCAATCAACAGACCTCACTTTTGATGAAGAAAATCCTATTAATCATAAGGATGATCCATTTGTGTTTACGACAGGAGGAGATATTCTATTCATACCAAATGCAACTGATTTACTTAGAAACCAGCAATCTCAAATTACAATTCCATATTCAACAAATTACAATTCCATCTTCAATAAATTACAATTCCATCATCATCAAATTCAAATTCAAATCAAATGGTATGTTTGGTATTTAAACAGTCAGTTTAAGGTCAAAATATTCAAGTGGATTGCAATTATAAATTAGAGGTTGAACTGATTTTGAATTAGCTGAAATGTCAACAGGTAGAAATGAAGCAAATCCTAATAGTTTGATCCGTTGATTTGATTGTGGAATTAGTCAAGCCCCAGTTTTGGATGTAAGGCATGCTTTACATTCTTTGGGATATCTTTTGAGATTGTTTAATTACAACAAAGACTCTGGAGGTTTTCAATTGATCATCAATATTTATTCTAGATGATATCAAATGTGCAATTATGATCATGATGGTTTTTTGATGTATATAAATTAATGTTTTTGTGATGCTTTCGTAGTTTTGTTTTGTAGGGTTCTCTTATCAAATTATTATTTGCAAGAGTGACTGAGAAAGCTGACCTTGTACCTGGCATTGACGAAGTTGATTCTGTTTTAAATCCTAATTGAGTGATCATCAAAATTATTCCAGGAGTAAGTATTTCCATTCAAAAAGTTTCAGTTAATGTTACATATGAAGTTGTACAAGGGAAGGAAGAAATTGAGACTAGATTTTATCAAATATGATGTTTTGATTGAATGTTTTCTTCTGTTGATGCTGAGAACATTTTATTGAAGATTATTTGCTTTTCATTTTTTTTGTTAGTGGGAAATAAAGTATTAGAAACAGGTGCCCAGATTATTATGAAGGATTCATTTGCAGTAGAATAATTAAAAGGATCAGATAAAGGTAAAAATCAATTGAAAGAACAAGATTTAGCAGGAATCAAACTTAAGATATCTTACATTTCATTCCACCTCAAAAGAGCTAAACATTTGATAATTAGGAAACTCATCTTGAAGGTTTGTTCGATTTATTGTTCATTTCTATTGATCTTCCTTCCAGGATGTTTGGTATGATATCCAGTCTGGAATCTAGAGGGTTGTGAATGACAATCCAAGATACCTGGATCTAGATTCAAGGGGTGAAAAAGAACCATAGTCTTTGATTTAGTTGGATGTTGCCCAATAGTGGTGACTAGATTCTCATTGCAAGACCTTGAACTCTACTAACAGAATAATTTGGCTTATTTAATTAACTCACACTTAATGCTATGAAATTCTTAAGAAAAGATGCTACATACTGAATTTATTGAACCAGAATTTGACCGTTAGTCTTCCTCAGATGCTATTCAATAATCTATTGAGGCTAATTTTTCTTCTATGGTATATAGCTTTCTTTGGTTTGATCTTACAAGATACTCAAATGGAAAGAGATAAAGCAAAAGAAACAGATGAGATATGCAAAACCTCACAGTGAAAGTACATTCACTTTATGTCTAATTCCATCTGGATAAAAATAGATGATCCTAAGTTTACTCTGAGAATCAGAGCTAAGTCTGATTATTTGAGATTATCACTCATGTAATTCAATATGGTAAACTGGACATTGAGGGACAAGATAACTGATGATTGATGATCAATGGATCAAAAGATGATTAATTGTTAGAGCATCAGATAACTTGGTATCAACATGCCTTTTGTGCTTTGAGCTTTTGAAAGCGGCGGCCCGCCGCTGATTTGCTAGTGTTATGTAATCTCTGATTAAGCTATGTTTTGCATTGATTGACCATTTATGATCAAAACTTCAAGCTCTAAAGGCAACATTGAAGCTTGGTATCAATGCAAAGTTGAAAGATGTTTCAATCAGGAAGCTATAAATTGGGAAATTCCAAAAGTTGGACTCAAGTCAAAACAGTTGGAAGAAATAGGTTAACAAGATCCTTGCAACTATCACCCATTAATGGATCTGGGTAATCAAACTCTTTCATTGGTGTGTATGTTGGTATCACAGGCTGTCATTGATTTAGATCCAAAGGAAATGTTTTCCTGATGAAAAAACTTCTCTTGATGGATGAGTTTGACCAAGTAGATGACCCAATGCAGACCAATTCAGGATAAATGCTTGACTGCCCATACAATTTGTGATTTCAAACATCAGATTAATCAAGAAAATGGGTGTTGAGATGAAGGAGGGGTTTTGATTATCAGATGAAATGACAAACAGATGTCAAAAGGGGAATACAATGTGTTATGACCTGTGACTTACAGATACTTAGCATCCTTATGTGTACTTGGCTGTTGTCATATTACTTGCCGTGGAGCGTGGAGGACAGGGTTTTCAGTTAGCAATCTAACTACATTACTAGAAGACCTTTCTCACTTGTGCATCTTTACTCATCCCTCCAAGTCCTATCACAATGATTAACTGAGGTATGTAGGACAGACATCTATCTTACAAGTGTATTGTAGAGACTTGGTGCATCATCAGTGTGGATTACACTTCATTGATTGGCAAATCTTAAGCAGCCATACCAATAGTTTATTTATAATCATTATGTTGTTGTGTTTTCATAAACAACTATGTTTCTATGTGTATCTTGACTACTCATATAATGATAGTATAGCATGTTATATACCGTGACAAAACAATACTTGAGGTACTCTGATATGGAAAATGTTGGGGTTGGGGGTTAGGCTCTGATTTGTCTGATTTTTCATCCAACCAATTGCCCCTTACAAAGATTTTCTACTTGAGTGATGTGATGGTTGAGCCAGAATAGCCTCTGGAATTCTTTGCAGATTGATCTAAGATGATATTCTCTTACAAGTGCGGCGCCCACCGCTCAATTTGGCTAGTACATTATATTCGCAGTGTGAGTGATTTGTATTGATCTTTTCAAAATTGAAGACAATTTGAAGCACCTGGAAGGATGTAGGCAGAGCAGTGCCCACCACAAAAACTGGCTGGTTCTCTTTATAATGGTTGCCTGCACATTTCATTTTATTTTTTTTCAGCAGTGTCATATCAATTCTTACTGTAGGTCTTTTGTATAGGCTTTGTAGAACCTTTTGTCCTATACTGTGCATTCACCTTTGGTCCTTTGTTGTATTTGGACCCTGCTTGGTCTGATAACACAGGGGTTCCTATCCCACTTCCAAAATAAATCACACCACAATCAGCAACCCTCACTATTGAATCATGACCTGTCATATTTTTCCTACTGTTAAGCAACAATTTTCTTTTATCTATGAATTCTCCAATTGAACTTTCTCCATACCCTGTTAACTCCACCTTGCCAAT